AGCACAGCTATGTTCTCTTGATGGGCACTGAAATTTGAATTTCATATAATTTTCACGTCATGAAATAGTAATCTTGTCATTTTTTTCAACCATTTAAGAACGTAAAAACCATTCCTAGCTCATAGGTTACATAAAAACTGGCAGCAGAGTGGAATTAGCTAGTGGGCTAAAGTTTGCTGATCCCTGACCTAAACGATACTAACTAGAGCTCTGTTTAATACCATTACTTTGATAACATTTAGGCCTGGATTTATATAACATTATGCTTATAATACTACAATGAAACATTAATACAGCATATTTTATTGATGGAAAATGAAATACCAAATAAACATCTCTTGGAAAACATCTTCTACATTTCCAAGGTAGAAGAAGTGAGATAAAGAAACAACCCTGTCAAAGATGATGGAAATGCTACAAATAAAACCTCTATGTCCTGATTCTCAGGTGAGGGTATATTCAATTGTTAGGGCCTACAAAGCCCCAGGCAAGTGAAGGGCTCCTCCTTGTAGAAGCAGGCAGAATAACTGACGGGGATTCCACTGTGTGGGGGCTACCTTCCAGTGCAGCAGTAATACATACCCTAAAAGAAGAGGTTTTCTACAGAAAGGCAATAAAAGCTAGTGGAAGACACACAAGAAAAGCACATGCTACATACATGAAATAAAAATAAGGTACATATTCACAGAAAAGCTAAAGAGCAATCATTTACATCTATAAAACTGACAGTTTAACAGAATTATTTTATGTTCTTGATTGAACAGGAACATAGATTAACATGCAGAGATAAGAGATGGATAATTTCAGCTTATTTTAAGGAGAAAAAACTCTATACAACTAAAGTTTTTCACTAATGAACATGGTTTCCTTGAAAACACCTTACACAACAGTGCTGTTCTTTCAACCATGGCACATGACTATTAGGGATTCTTACAGATAAAGGGATTCTCACATCAGGGAGAAAGCTGGACTCTAAGTTTTCTTTTCATTCTAAGTTCTTGTCATATTTGGAAATTTGATATACCAAAAAAATTCATTCTAGGCTATCTGTAGAAAACAATGGTAAACAGATAACTTGGAAAATACATTATTTTGAAGGATATAAAAAATACAGGAAGTATGCATAGTTCAGGGAAGATCATAATAATTAAGGAATGGAAGAATTCAATGATGAGAAAAAGCCTTAGCTAATTAAGACATCTGAGGACAGGAAAATTATATTTATCTAAATGATACATATTTTAAAAAGGACAGACTATGAAAGATTTGATGCCAGGAAAGACAATCAGAACAATTATCTTAAAGGAAAATGTAATGCAGGATAATTGAGTTATTACACTGTTTGTAAATTTCTGTCACAGGAAAAATCCCCAAGGGATCACTGGTTGACACGAAGCTTTAAACAAAATTATTAGCATGACAAAGTAGATAATTAATTCATTAAAGAGAAGGAACCCTACTTAAATTTTTGAAAAATCTGTTTGCTCTAGTTTTAAGACTTTAGATAATCTTATCGAGGCTATTTTTCTCTTTCTAAAACCAGAATGCCAATTGATTGATATAAAGGGAATAAAAGCAATTTAAATTCAAACATCATTTGGTTCAGAATATACTTGCCATCATCATAAGCAGTACAATTCTCTGTACAGTCAGACCTATAGTGGACAGAGAAACTATAAAAAGAAGATTGCTTGTTTGTATGGAATCAGAAAGAGGGAAATCAGTCAGAGGAGCTACTATTTAACAATGTCATCCTAAGGCCACCCTTTGCACCTGTCACTGTGACAGGTATGATCTTGCAATTGGACCCAAATTCTCAAGACTATGGCCAAGGTTTCCTAAATTCTGAGTCATCCTTAAACTGTCAAAAAATCCATTTAAAATATACAAAGTCATATTTAGATTTTTCATAAGAGGTATGATTTTTAACTATGATTTTAAAAAGAAGTATAGGAATATACTTATATATAGTAATACGCTCACTTAACTTTGGTATTAAATAAGCTGAAACAGTGAGAAATCACTTACTTACCAGCCTGTCCTGGAAAAGGTAAATTTAAAATTTTTAAACAGTTTTATTTAAGTACAACTGACATACAATAAACTTCCCACAAAGTGTACAGTTTGATAAGTTTTGACATATGTATACAACTGTGAAACCATCACCACAATCAAGATAATGAACATATTCATAACCTTTCAAAGTTTTCCCATGTTCCTTTGTAATCTCTCCTGCCTTTCCCCATCCCAGTGCTCAGGCAACCACTACTCAGCTGTCACTGTAGATGAGTTTGCATTTTCCAGAATTGAAAGTATGTAGTATATACTCTACGTTGTCTGGCTTCTTTCACTCAGTGTAATTATTTTGAGATTCATCCATTTGTTGTGTATATCAATAGATCATTCCTTTCATTATTAAGTAGTATTCCACTTGTATGGATAAACCACAATTTGTTTAACCTCTTGTTGACAGACATTTGGGTACAAGTTTTTGCATGGGATATATGTTTTCATTTCCTTTGGTAATTACCTAGGAGTGGAATAGACAGATCATATAATAAGTAATGTTTAATTTTTAAAGAAACTGCCTGTTTTCCAAAGTTGTAGCATTTTATATTTCCCCTTGCAGTGTATGAAAGTTCCAGTTCCTCCACATCTTTATCAGTAGTTAGTACGGTCAGTCTCTTTATTTTGAGCTATCCTAGTAAGTATATAGTGGTATTTCATTGAGGTTCTTTTTAGAGACAGGGTCTCACTTTGTCGCCCAGGCTGGAGTGCCGCAACACGATCATAGCTTACTGCAGCCTCAAACTCCTAGACTCAAGCAATCCTCCTGTCTCAGACTCCTGAGTAGGTGGGACTACAGGCACACACCTGACTATTTTTTCACTTTTTTTTTTTTTTTTTTTAAGAGATGAGGTCTCACTATATTTCCCAGGCTGGTCTCAAACTCCTGGCCTCCCACCTCAGTCTCCTGAGTTGCTGGGATTACAGGTGTAAGCAATCATGCCTGGCCGCTGAGGTTTTAATTTGTATTTCCCTAAAGACTAATCGTGTTGATTATCTTTTCACGTGTTTATTTGCCATCAACAGATCTTCTTTAGTGAACTGTCTGTTCAAATCTTTTGCCCACTTTTAAACAAGGTTGGCTGTTTTCTTGAGTTAGAAGAATTCTTTATATATTCTGGATACCAGTCCTTCAGCAGACATATGACTTAAAATTTTATCCCATTGTGTGGCTTGTCTTTTCATTCTCTTGACAGTTTCGAAGAGCAGAAGTATTTAATTTTGAGGAAGTCCAATTTATCAGTTTTCTTTTATAGGTTGTACTTTTTGTGTCACACCTAAGACATCTTTACCTAATACAAGCTCACAAAGATTTTCCTCTATGTTTTCTTCCAGAAGTTTTATAGTTTTAGGTTTTACATTTAGGTCTATAATCCATTTTAAGTTAATTTTTCTATGGGTGCGAAGTAATTCTCGAATTTCATTTTTTCCCACCTGGAAAAAGCCAACTATTACAGCAACGTTTGTTGAAAAGACTATCTTTTCTCTACCGAAGTGATTTTGAACCTTTGTAACAAATCAGTTCCCACTGATCATTTGTTTATCTTGATACCAATACCACAGTATCTTAATTACTATAGCTTATAATAAGTCTTGAAATCAACTTTGTTCTATTTCTTCAAAGGTGATTTGACTATTCTAGGTCTTCTGCATTTCCATATGAATTTTAGATCCAAGTTATCAACTTCTACTAAAGAAAAAAAAAAGACTGCTGGAATTGTGATTGTATTGAATCTACAGATCAATTTGGAGGGAAATAACATATTAACAACTATACTGAGTAGTCCCTTCACATGTGGGTTTATCAGCATTCTATGAATACTTCTGCAAATCTCTGCACTTCCCTCTCTAAGCTTCTCTTTCCTCTCCAAGACTTTGTACTCCAAACTGTAGCTGCCTTGGTCTTCCTATACTCTCAGTTCCTTCTCTCCAACTCGGTCTGGGTTTCCCCTGCCTATGTTGCAGCCTACAAACTCTCTCAAGGCAGTTAGCTGGGGCAATCACAGAGCTCACTTCATTTATTTTCTGCCTCTCAAAGACCACTGTCCTTCATTGCCGGATGCCCACTGTCTTCAAAACTGTTGTTTCATATATTTTACCCATTTTAAAAATTATTTCAGGCAGGAAGGTAAATCTGGTCCCTGTTATCCCATCTTCATTGGAAGTGAAATCTCAATTTTTAATTTGTAACGTCAAATCTGTTCTCAAAGTTACAAAATTGAAGTAAAAACAGGACAAAAACATAACTAGTAATTAGTATAATGTTTATCACTCTTCATTTATTTGTTCATTAACTCATTTCATTGCACAAATGTTTATTGAACTTTACAGAGTAAGTACTGAGAATCAAAGCCAGACATGCCCTTGCTCTGACAGAGCTTACAATCTAGTCAGACAGCAATCTAGTGGGACACACATTAATCAAATAACTATAAACAAAAATGTGTAACTGTGGTATCTGCTATGAAGGAAAAGAGAGAATAATGCTATGAGAACCTATAAGAAGATGATTTTATGGTATTTCTTTCTGTTGAGCCTACATCCGTGAGTAGAAAAACATTATTAATGTTTCGTGTTGAAGTCACGAAAAAATTACATTATGTATACAGTGGGGAAACATTATCAAATAAACTTCTCAATATATGATGTACCTACTAAGTATAAGACAACATGCTAAGTGCTTTGGGGCACATAAAAATTATGACACTATAGATCATAATTTAAATGTCAGATCTAATTGGGCACATAAAATACAGTATAAAAAATATAAAGGTTATGTATCTACATCTAGTATGAATATAAATAGAAACATCACTTTAACATTATTTTATTTATCCCCACTAAAAAAATTATTTTTTCATCAGACTAGTTGTAGAAATTTGACCAGTTCCTTTGAGAAAATAATATATGTATTTTATTTTGTTAAATCTTACCTAGATATCTCAGCCTGGGAATTTTTTTCTCCATCAACAGTGAAAGGAGATGCTCCAGTTAATAATTCATACATTAGAACACCTAAACTCCACCAGTCAACTGCCTATAAAACAATAATTTCGTTTTACAGAATTATCAACTAAAATATATTTTACAAAAAACAGAACAAAATAAAGCTATGTATTTGGAAAATATTTTAACAAGAAGATTTTGTACATCACTTTCTGTGTAAGGAGTATTAAATTAGCACACGCAAGACAGACATTAAAAGAACAAATTATCCTGGTATCCCCAGTGCAGGAAGTGTTTTAATCATTCCTAAACTAGTAACAGTTTTACCTTGATTAATTAAAAACTTTTTTAAACTTGAAAAGATTTTTAAAAATTTTAAGTAGGTGAAATCTTTGGGCTTATGATAGGGAGAAAAGTACCAATCAGCGTTTTTATTAAGTATCCAGCTCCAAAGAACCTTGAAATTCCTTAAAATCGAAGAACAAAGAATGAAAAAAATATCTTACACAAGGGAGTTTTTTTTTTAATAATCATGTAAATTAATTCCTCTTATAGAACCTATCATATAAATCTAAGAATCTTCACTGATGGGAAGATTTAAAATAGTATAAAATAAAATGTGTACTAATTTGGAAACCAATTTACAAATGCAGCTGCCTAAACTGAGACCATAGCAAGATATATATATATATGGTTTAGAAAATTTTGATATATTGAAAATGAGTTCTTTTGTAATTAGGCAAATCAGGATTTCCATAACTGTTGAATATATGAGCTTACACAAATGAGAAATATTAACAGGATGTTAAAATTTTAAGCTATCTGTTTCTAAATTCCAGAGCTTAAGTTTCAGAGAAGTGAAAAAAATGCATGAGCCTAGAGCTCTTTTAAAGGAAATACAGAACACTGACATATAAAACAGGATAAAAAAGACTGGAATGATGAGAGGAAAAGTATTTACTGAATGCCTCCTCCATGCCAGGCACTGTGATGAGCCTTTGCAAACATTATCTCATTTAATTAACTCAACGTCGTAAGGGTGTTCCATGTATGGGAAAGTATATTTATTAACTAGCTGTATTCTGGACATTAGGGAGACAGAAATTCTAGGAGTAATATAAGGTTATCTTATGCGAAAAATGGCTCCATTAGGCCTTAGAATATAATTTTCAAATTTTAACAGTTATAAATTCCTACCAAATTTTCAATAGCTTTAAAGAATACCATGGAGCAAACTAAACCAACAATTCAACACTTTTGCTTACGCAAGCAGTTTCACTGGCATGTGAGTCAGGACCCTCACAATGTTGTGCTGTTGGATTTGAAACCATGTTCTTCAACTGATACAGACCAACAATCAGATTCCTAGCAGTGGGTCCAAAACCAATATCACACAAACTTGAAGAAAGTGCTTTTAAGTATATGATTGATTAGTCATTAGAAAGGAGACCAAAGATTCCCCACAGCCAGATATCTGAACTGCATCTGTGGGATTTTGAAAGGGGACGAGGGAATGAGAAAAGATAAGGAGCAAAAATAGTCAGAATTCCTTATTTGGAGAAAGTTATTAATAAAGCAAAAGTGTTAACAAAACTGAAAAAACTTTGTATCCTTTAATACAGGAAGAAAAAAACATGACCTAGATTTCATAACGTAATTACTTAGAAAGCTTCTTCTACAATCTTTGCATATAAAAAGGGAAGTGAGGAGGCCATAAAAATTGACATTTTTAGAGAGCCTAGGAAAATAAACTTAGACTATATAGAACACAGAATTTTTTTCTTTTTCCAAGGGTTATGATGTTACGATGTTTATTTCTGTTGGAGAGGTAATCAATAGTCTCCAGTGTCTCTGCAAAGTTAAAGGCAGAAATTGGGAATTTGAAAATACGAGTGATTCCTTTTCAATGACCTCTTAGAAAGCAAATATTAACTAAAGGTGACACACATGACTATATGTTTCTGTATGTTTTTCTAGCAGAAATTAATGCCAATAAATGCTGTCCAAAATCATTCATCATGACTCAGACAGGAGCAATGTGCACAGTTTTTGCATTCAGTGACATCTCTGTATTGCACGGTGGTTCAGTTGTACCTAAAAGACCAAGGTACTATGCAAAAGAAAGAGAGTAACGTTTTTAGAATGGAGTCATATTTTGTGCTTTGCCTAAGATATAGACTCTTCTAATGGAAATAAACTAAAAATTATTTGAAGAATTAGTTTTGAGGTCTCAACTTTAATAAGAGCGTTACTCTATAAAACAAAATCCTCACCAATAAAACCATTGAAAAGGAAAATCTAGAATGTCCTAAACCTTTCTATTATCTTTTACTTCCAAAACACTAGATAGCATAATGGGTTTAGGTATATAAAGCAAAGAGAAAAAAATGAAGATAATCAACACCAGAATGAGGGCTCTGTTGAAGAAAGTGTACCTAAGCTATTAACTAGGATTCTTATTATACATTTTATGGAAATATATAAAGAAGCATCAAAAAGAGAACATACCTTGTCATGTCCTGAATCTCCCCCTCTGACAATATCTGGTGCCATGTATTCAATAGTTCCACAAAAGGAATATGCTCTTTCAGTCTTGAATAAACAAACAAAAAAGGGATTTGATTTCAAGCTAGCATGACAAGTGACAAAAGAAGAAAGTTAATAATACATGTTAGTGGTTGAGATACACTAGAGTTGCAAAGCAGTGGTAGAATCAACATGACAGACCATCACCTACATAGCATGAGTCCTGGTTAAATGCCCCATCAGAATTATTTCTCATGCCTGAAACCATACAACCATATAACTTATTTAAAACCAATGCTACAAAGCTATTTTTTAGCCAATCAGGGAAATTTGATAATGGACTGAATATTACCTCTGTTAGATGTGATAATGCAATGGCAGTCATGTATGAGAACATTCCTGATTCTTAGAGAAGCATACTGAAACATTTGGGGGAGGAAAAGTGTGATGTCTGGCATTTTCTATGAAACGCTTAACTAAGGAAGTAAAAAAAGATAAATCAAATGTGGCAAAA